TCATCGGTGGAAAAGCAACGTTCTTGGATGCCTGGGAGGTAGGTTCCAGCTTCCTCTACGTGTGCTGGGAGAGAAATTCTCAGTTATCCATGAGACTTCCCGTTGATATGAAAGAGGCCGTGTGCCTGATGCTTTCTAATTTCATCATTGTGATTCTCTAGCTCTTCTAATATCTTCCTCATCACCTTTGGCTTTTGGGTGCATCTGATACTATTTAGATTTCAAGTCTAGAACTGAGTCTTCAAATAAGACTGAAAATCCAATGTACCCCACTTTGGGGAATATACACGCTGTTCTCAAACCAGGGCGAGCCATTTGGAACAGGAGGTTTGGGCGTGGGTATGCTCAATGCAGCTGAGTAACCTAGGGTCAGTTTTGTAATGTTTTTAGGGCTCAGTTTTCTCTTCTTAAAAAAGAAGTCTTATAACACATACTACTACTATGTATTTTTGAGGGTGCGATAAAGATGAAGATGGTTTACATGCCAGGAACATTAGTCACAGTAGCCATTTAATTATCTAAAACTATAAGGCAGGGTTAACATCCCCATTTATAAATAATGACATTTGAAGCCTAGATTGATTGGTGACTTGCGCAGGTCATGTCACAATGTGTGTGGCAGAGCTGGGATTGGACCCAGACTCATCTGAATCACAAGTCCACCCACCAAAGCCATCAGCGTGGTGCTTGCCAGGCAGTGAACACACTTCCAGAAATCAAGGAGCCTGAGTGCCCTGCTTCCCAGATCACATCATGACCTGTTTCACATCATTCACATTCAAAGTGAATTAGGGATCAGTGTTTTCTCTGATCGTTTTTTGTTATACCATTCTATCCTTTTGCAAATGCTAGTAGAGAACGAAGTGGAGGAATGAGTTATAAATGATCAGTGGCATCTGACTCCAAGAGTTAATGGTGTCATAGTGGCAGCTGTCTGTGTAGGGATGCATGTAGTTGCGAGTTTGTATTGTGTTTTACAAGGGAAAATATTAAGCCTCACCTTTCTGAAATGCTTAGAATTGACATGATTCAATTAAATGTAGCTTTTTTGTGTATTGTTGGTTCAAAAACATTAATCCACAAACACAACATTCTTTCTTAAAGACAGAGTCTCACTTTGTCACCCAGGCTGTAGTGCAGTGGCTTCATCTTCACTCACTGCAACATCCCTCTATCGAGTTCAAGCCATTCTACTGCCTTAGCCTCCTGAGTAGCTGGGACTGCACGTGCATACCAAAACGCTCGGCTAACTTTTGTATTTTTAGTAGAGACAGAGTTTCACCATGTTAGCCAGAATGGTCTTGAACTCCTGACCTCAGGGGATCCACCCATCTGAGCTTCCCAAAGTGCTCAGATTACAGGTGTGAGCCACCACACCTGGCAATTCGTGTTACATTGGATCAGTTTTTTTGCCTTAGCTCCTATGATGATATTAAGTATGGCAAGTATGTAAGTGTAGCCTGCGTCTCACAGTGCTATGTTTCTGAATGAATACGGGAATGACTGTTCAATAAAACATTTGAAAGGCATGAAAAGATATCGGTGATCAAGGTCAGAGGCTCTGATTTGAAACAAGCAGACTTGAATATGAAAGCGCTGGATGTTTCTGTAGACCCACAGCCAGTTCAGTAGAAACCTCATTGACCACCCTGAAGCAGAGGGGAGGAAAAGGTATAAAGAAGTCAAGTTCGAAGACAGGCAAACTAACCTGACCTATGATGTATAATAGCTTTTAAATTGTCTAATTGCTCTTTCGGAAGTTTTGGGGAACCTTATGATTTCATAGCTTTTAAACTCTACTACCCAATTGAGTAACTTTGTCTACGCTAGTGGTTCTCAATGTCGGCTGAGCATTAGAATCACCTGAGGAGTTTACAAATCCCAATGTCTAGGCTACAACTCAGATAAAATCTGTAAGAAACTCTGGGGGGTGAAACCCAGCCACCGATATTACTTTTTTTTTTTTTTAATTTAGAGAATCTTGTTCTGTTGCCCAGGCTGTGGTACTATGGCAAGATCATAGCTCAGTGTAGCCTCAGGCTCCTGGGCTCAAGCAATCCTCCCAAGTAACTGGGATCAGAGGCACATGCCACCACATCCTGCTAATTAAAAAAATTTTTTCTAGTAGACACAGAGTCTTGCTATGTTGCCCAGGCTGGTCTCTGACACCTGGCCTCAAGCAATCTTCCTGTCTCAGCCTCTGATAATGTGTATCAGAAAGATATATATTACTAGTATGTATTATAAGACTTTTTTAAAGAAGAGAATACTAAGGCCTACAAGAGGTAAAAAACTTACCCTAGGTTGCTGAAACCCAGGTCCAAACCCCCTGTTCCAATCCTATCCTGAAGTGCTGAGATTACAGTCATGAGCCACTGCATCCACCGGTAGTTTTTAAACTTCCCTGGTGATTCCAAATTGCAGCCAAAGTTGAGAAGGGCTGGATAAAGAGTTCCCTGAACATGTCATGTTCATCCCTGCCTCTGAGCTTTGCTATTGCCTTCCTGTCTCATAGGCTCATGTTTTTCCCCTCTTTTCTCTCTCGCTCTCTCTTTTTTTTTTTTTTTTCTGAGGCTCAGTTTAAACTCTACCTGAAGGTCTGCCCTGACAGCTGCAGGCTGTGTGAATCTCTTCCTTCTCTGCCCTTTCTGACTCTGTCTATGCCACGGTCATGTTATCTGAGGCAACCTCGGTGTCATGGTTGATGGTTCCATAGAAGGGAACCCTAGCACTTTAACTGAACTATAAGAATCCCAGAAAAGGAAGCACATTGTATACTTTTACATCCTGACAACTTCTGGAACATGTAATAGATGGCTAATAAATACATGTTGCATTGGAGGCTGCTGCTAACATATATGATATTTTTGGGCAAGTTTGGAAAATGCCCAATATAGGCTAAAAGTTATACAAAGATTCTCTTCCTTGGGGGTCCCTGTAGTTTCTGTACCGGGAAGCATGGCTGGATATGCAGACAGTGGGTCAGGTTTCAGCCCCACATAACTCCTTGCCCAGGTGCCCCTGCCAGGGCATAATCTATATGCATGACCTTCCTGCAAACCCAAGCACGGTTGGTGTGGGAGAAAGTGACTCAGGACCCACAAGTGAGGCTTCTCCACATGCTGCAGCCTCTTCCTCACTAACACAGCTTGCCCAGGTTTGGGTGTACAATACACACACAGCAGTAACTACCCGCTGTCATTTGGATTCATTAAAAATAAAATCATCTCATAAGCTTGCAAATGTTCATTTTTTATTTATTTTTTATTTTTTGCATTACAAAACTTTTATATTTCCCGTGTGTACAGAAGTATAATTTTGTATGTGTTTCTTTATGTGTAAGGTGAGGGTGGCAAGAATATAAAATCTTTACCTGTAACTCCTAGTTTTTCTTGGGCTGGGGAGGGGCAGTAGGACTGGAACATTCACTGATGGGCACCCAAGCCCTGGACTGAAATTTCCTGTGAATGCCTCGGCTAACGCTGTTGTGCTGGATCCTTTAGCAATCTCTGACCCAGGGAGGACTAAGGCAAGCGAGGGTCTCTGTAGTCCCTCTGGGGCTGCCCAAAAGGTTTTCCTTTCTATGACAGGCCATGGAGGAGCTGGTGGATGAGGGGCTGGTGAAAGCCCTTGGGATCTCCAATTTCAGCCACTTCCAGATTGAGAAGCTCTTGAACAAACCTGGACTGAAATATAAACCAGTGACTAACCAGGTAAATTCTGTTTAGTATAAGGGTAAATAAAGGTCTTCCCCTATTACTTCTTAAACATTGGGAGGAACGTTCAGTGCTATGCCCTGAGTCTCACCTCAGGGGTCAGTGATCAGGACACTTTTGGGAGGTGTGAGGCTGATCTCATGGGTGTGTTAGCAAGAATCTCAGTGGGTAGGTGTTTGGCCTTTGCTTGGTGGTCTTTTTTTGTGTGTGTCGAACTCCCTCCCTATGAACAACTCAAAAAGCCAGTCAGCTTTCCCCGTGATGCGGATTGTTTGCTGTTGCAGGTTGAGTGTCACCCGTACCTCACGCAGGAGAAACTGATCCAGTACTGCCACTCCAAGGGCATCACCGTTACAGCCTACAGCCCCCTGGGCTCTCCGGATAGACCTTGGTGAGGCTTCCAAGCAGTGGATCCTTCTCTTGATAATCTTAAAGACATTATTTTATGTTTGGTAAATATTGGTATGAGACCATAAGTCACTCTAAAGAAAAACGTGTGTAAGGTAATGCGTTTAGTACAACCAAATGGGATGACTGTGGGAAAAAATGGGAATTGAAAAGCAACAACAGCAACAACAAAAACATGGGCGACGTGTTTGACCCTCTGGGAATATTTCCAGTTCAGCCACCCAAGGATGAACCAGGCTTTGCAAAATGCTGAGGCTTCAGAGCCCGGGGGAAGGACCCAAGCTTCCAGGTCCTCCTGCCTGTCTCCCAGATGGAGAGGCTCTGATGATCAGTCTTGAGACCCTCATTGGTGTGGTGTCCATCTCTACATGGTAGCCATGGTGATTGTTCACATCAGCATCTTTCTGCCTCTAGGGCCAAGCCAGAGGACCCTTCCCTACTGGAGGATCCCAAGATTAAGGAGATTGCTGCAAAGCACAAGAAAACTGCAGCCCAGGTGCCATATTTTTATTTTTCTTGTTATCCAACAACTCTTTTTTCCAGTCTCATGTTTCATTTCTTGTGTTGTCCTCAACTAACTCCTTAAAGGGGAAGAACACAGCAGCTGAAGCCCTCTAAAGTGTTTCCTTCGAAGTCTGTTGGAACCTCCAGGAAACACAAGAGCTGTCACTGAAACAAAGCTTCTGCCTCACAGCTTCCTGTTAAGCCCTACAGCCAAGTCGCAAAGCATGGCTTTGAAGTCTAGGGATATGGGTGCAGATGCCAACTCTACCTCTGATCAGCCTTACGACCCAAACTGCTTTCTTTATTCCTAAAAAATGAAGATCACAGAGTTGTCCCTAAGGTGAAGGGAGAGAATGAGGTGAGGAGCTGGAACAAATCTAATAGCTGCAAAGGGCTCAGTCAGTATCAGCGATTGTACCTGAAGCCACAGTGAGCTGCAGAGATGTTTTATTCTTCCTTTCCATAAGAGGAGGGGTCCTTGTAGCTGAGTGGAAACATGATGTCCCCTTTCCGCACAGGTTCTGATCCGTTTCCATATCCAGAGGAATGTGATTGTGATCCCCAAGTCTGTGACGCCGGCACGCATTGTTGAGAACATTCAGGTAAGATCCCGGCTGGTCGGCCCTGGTACTTCTCCGTGGGGTGGGGCAGAGGCAGACCCTCTCACCAGGATTCTCACCTCATTCCTGCACTGTCTTTGGCCCCGTCCGTTCCCACCACCCTAACATCTTCCAGTCTAGGGTGCTAGGCTCAGTATACCTGAGATGAATGACCCATGGGCTTAGGACATGCTGGGGACAGTGCCTGCTGAAGCCCTGTCAGGTCTGAGCACAGCTGTGCCTCACACCACTGAGAAGACCCTCAGTTGCCCCTGAGCAGCTAAGCCCTGGGCCACCACATAAGCAGACTGTCCTGGCCTCCCTGCTCATCTTGTGGCAGCAGAGGAGGTGTGAACTGTCCTTGGAGAACTGTCTTCTAGAAGGGCACATCATGGAGCACAGGGCCTGTGCACACCTGGGGCTTAGTGCCTGTGAGCCTGGTCTCCCTCCCCTGGAACACTGAACACTACAAATACTGCAGTCTTTGTGTAGGACTTAATTTAGAGAAAAATTTGTATCCCGTGGACATAATGGGAAAAACACCCGTGACCAGTTTGTGCTGCTAGAATTCCCTGCTAGAATGGCTGACAGTCTCCAGTCACAGCAGTAACGGCCTTACTGATGATGTACTGGAACTCCTATCTTTCCAGGTCTTTGACTTTAAATTGAGTGATGAGGAGATGGCAACCATCCTCAGCTTCAACAGAAACTGGAGGGCCTGTAACGTATTGCAGTAAGTAGCATGGAGTTAACTAGGAGCATTGCCAGGAGTTTTTCTAAACTGGTAGGGGGTTAGTTGGAAGAGTTAGAAGGCTGCTGGGACTACTTGTGTCTTCAAATACAATTTTGGGGCAGTTCTGAAAGTTAAAATTGGGGTGCCTGGGAATCACTGTGATGGACACATCTCTAATTGCTGCTCATTGTCTGAACTTCTGGATGTAGAGCTAGAATTGTAACAGAAGGTGTGTTGTCAATAGGCAGGAGGCGAGCATTTATTTATTCCTGCATCCAATAAATATCTAGTGGTCCTCTATGTACGAGGCATTTTCTAGGTGCTTGGGTAATCATACTATACAAAGATGCTGCCTCCACGTGCTTAGGGAGGGAGGGAAGAAGACAGAACAGAAATAAATCAACTCAAAATTTATGTGTCAGACAGTAACAAATGCTAGACAGAAAAATAAAGTAGGGCAAGGTGGATAGGAAGTGGTGGGTGGTAGTGGGACGGATCCTTTATACGGGGTGGGTCAAAGGAGGCTTTGCTGTGAGGGATATGCCATACGCATATTTGGGGAAGAGCATTCTTGGCATTGATAACAGCAGGTGCCAAGGCCCTGAGGTGGGATTGTGTTTAGAACATTCAAGCAAGAAGGCCGGGAAGGCTGGATTAAATATTCTCCAAATGCCTCTTAAAGGAGGTGGTGGTAACTCTACTTTAAATGTCAGATAAGTGGTTGAAAGAAAGTTTTCATTCTGGCTAGGTGGGAATCCTAAATCATCTCTTTACAATCAATACTTTCTGATTAATGGATCTAATTAAATATATCAAAGAGAGTTGTCTGGCATTTATTACTGCGAGGTCTGCAATTAAACAATAATTTGAATTTCTTCCAATGCTTCTGTACCAAAATGATTTTTCAGCTTTTAAAAATGGTTTCAGTATCTCAAGCATAGCTTCCATGTCATGATATTCCATATCTATCCTGCCCACTTTTAGTATCACAGCAGCCTTTCCTCATCTTATAATGGCTTATTTTTATCAGTGCTTAACAAGGTAGCAGCTGCTTACTGGAAAAAGGCAGGGTGAACATAAAATGGGACTCTCCCTCAAACTGAACTGCTGACCTTCCAATGAACATCATTTCTGGTGGAGGCAATGGGTTGGTGGGCTCAGGAGTAAGTCCACCTGGCCTCAGATCCAACTCTAACACTGGTTTCTTAGCTGTGTGACATTGGGTAAATTTCCTAGTTTTACCTAGTTGGTTTCTTTACCTATAAAGTAGGATGATAATATTAATCGCAGCAAACATCCATTGAACCTTAGCTGAGAATGTGCCAGGGTCCTGAGCCCTTTGCTGGTGCTATTATCTTATTTAATACTCATAACAATCCCCAAGCTGTCAATTTTGCTGTGTTTCCTAGCTCATCATGTTGTGACAGTGGACTGGGACAAGACTTGTCAGTTGCCTCACCTGATACCAGGCTTACCATGAGTTGTCATTCCGAGTTGTTTCCAGTACCCTGGTCACTGTCTGTCCTCCTTCCTAGCAAAGCCCTCGTATCGGTTTGAGGGAAGGTCAAGGTGTGAGCACCCTTCTTGTGTTCTTGCAGGGAGGAAGCTGAGAGAGCACAGATACCACAGAGTCCACCACAGAAGAATGCCTTCTCAACTAGAGCTGTTGCTTTGATAGAACAGAGTTTCTCTCTCTTTTTGTTTCTGCAGATCCTCTCATTTGGAGGACTACCCCTTCCATGCAGAATACTGAGGTTGAAGCTCCTGGTGACATTACACAGGGGATTCTCTTTCTTCGCTGAAGTGTGACTATCTCCACTCACGTCCTATTTTAGCCAAGCTTATCTGAGATCACAGTGAACTTCGTCCTGCCGTAGACCAGAATCGAGGTGCTGTTTTAGACATGTATTTCTGTATGTGCAACGAGGATCAGAATATCACAGAAAAACATGGCTTGAATAAGCAGAGGGCAATTTTTTCCTCTTCTCTGATCTGAGCAAATGTTTGTTAAGCACAAGAAACTCTGCCAACACTGAGGATGTAAAGATCAATAATAAAAAATAATGATGGTAACCAAGATGGATTGAGAGTGGACTATGTTCCCACACAACGTGAAGTGTTTTCCTGTGGGGGAAGTCACTGAATCCTGAAAATAACCCCACTGAGGTAGGTACTCTTAACATCTTAGGAGAGAGAGAGGAGGAACTTGTCAAGGCCACCCAGGTAATAAGTGACTGAACCAAGTTTGAAAGGCAGGCAGGCTCTGGGAGAGCTCACAGCGATCGATGGTCATCCTCTTCCTCCTGAGACTTTTCCTGCCACCTTTCCTCCTTGTCTGTCTCCACTCATTCCCTGTCTTGCTGTCCCACCTTGTCTTCAATACACCATCATGCCAAAGAGTCAATGGCACAGCCTGCAAACTCCACAAAGATGCTACTGTTCACTGAGTGAGATGTGGCATTTCCTTGGGAAGTAGGGTGGAAATACAATAAAGATGCTTACTGTTGCCATTAATCTGGAACATTTCTGTTTGTCCTATAATAATCACTTCTTATGAAATATTCCAACTATACAGAAATGTACAGAAAATGAAGTAATGAGCCTCTGGTCACCCACATTATAATGTTAACAAGTGTTAGCCGGGTGTAGTGGTGTGCACCTTAGTCCCAGCTACTAGAGAGACTGAAGTGGGAGGGTCACTTGAACCTGGGAGGTGGAGTTTGCAGTGAGCCAGACTTGCACCACTGCACGCCAGCCTGGGTGAGAGGGAGAGACTCTGTCTCAAAACAAGAAACAAAAAAGAAATGCTAACATTTTACCATATTGTCTCCAAACCTTTAAAAAAAAGTAAAGAAATTAGGGGTTACCAATATAGTCAAGGACCACTTTGTGCACGTCCCGATCCCCATTCCCCTGACTACCTCTCCAGAGGCAGATGCCTCTCCTAAATTGGTGAGTCCCCTCACCCTCTGATTGGGGCTGAGGGGTACACCTACATTCCCAGGCTCCTTGCTATGTTATAACTTCCCCTGGATTTGCTCAGTGAGAAGTACTGTTAGGAGCTTGAAGGGCTGGAGAAGGGAAGAGCCAGGCATTTCTCTCTCCCTCTCTCTCTGTCTCTGGACCTTGAGTGGCATCTCCAGTAGAAGGTACAATCCTCTGTGGGCCCAGCTTTTTCCAGGCAGACTCCACCTTGATTCTATCTCCTACCAGACAACGCTTCTGGGTTGAGGGAGCAGCACCCTTTCTTTGTCTTTCTTCCTTAGGTGAGAGGATCTCTTCCTGCTGCTGCTAAACTGAGTTGCCTCATCTCCTTTCCATAGCCCAGCTGTTCCATCACATGTAACTGATCACCTATTATAACCAATTATTTGAATCAAACATCCAATGTGTAATAATCTTAGCACAGTTTCTTTTCTCCTGGCAAGACATTTGCCTGCTACACTTCCCATCTACGTTTTTGTATGTTTCGAAAATATGTTCACATGCATACCCAATGTCATAGACTGGGTGCTGTTTAAACAAATATAAAATGTATACAATTGATACACAGGAAGCAATTTCAATGCAGAGTGCAGTGATATCTCCTTAGTGCGCATTTGGTGAAAATTTTCTTCTTCATGTCACTGTGATTATGACTTGCTTGATAAAAAGCTTAGGTTATAGGAGAAAAGGATTGGGTTTCTTTTATGTGGCTTTTTGTTTGTTTCACTTGAATTTAACCAAACAGAGGTAAATTTAAAAAGCTAATGTGAAGAAATGCTGTGTTGTAAAAAGCACCTCTTAGTTATTCTGTAGAATAACTTTGTCTTTGTCTTTGTAGAGAACGAGTCTTGCTCTGTTGCCCAGGCTGGAGTGGAGTGCAGTGGCATGATTATAGCTCACTGCAATCTTCAATTCCTGGGCTCAAATGATTCTCCTGCCTCAGCGCCATGAGTAGCTCAGAGTACAGGCACATGCCACGACCTCCTGCTAATGACTTTTTGTAGAGACTTGATCTTGTGATGTGGCTATGTTGCCCAGGCTGGTCTTGAACTTCAAGTGATCCTCCCGCCTCTGTCTTCCAAAGTGATGGGATCACAGGCAAGTGCCACCTCATCAGCTAGTGATCTGATTATATTTTCAGTATTTATATCTCGAGTAATGAGAACCTTGCAGGTCTCATGGTCCTCAATGTCACAACTGTAACAAATACAAGGCATCCATCCTAAAATTTGTTCACTATTTTGTCCCAGTTGGTCGGAAATAAAGCCACCATCCTCAACAACTAAACCAAAGCTGCCATTACGGGGAGAGAATCTAAGGTATACACTACAGATGTGTGTTAAATAACTCTTATGATAATGTAGGGAATTTGCCTTATGAAGAGAAAGGAAGGGGAGTAACCACAGAGAGGAAGATAGTAAGTAAGATCAGTGTGGAAAAGGAAGGGAGTTTGTCGTGGGAAGTAGGGAGGCAATGAGTGAGGCTCTTATGTTTCAAGTATTCTCTCCACTCATTGTCTAAGAGAGGGCTAGAAAGATGGGTAGCATCTACCATGGAGATTGTGGAATCACTGTGACTGTCCTGTCGGGCCCAGGTAGTCCAGAGGGCTAGACTTCCCCTGTTGTATTGAAGTGAGATCTGGCAAATGCTGACCAGATGATGCCAAACTATAACTGGGACCTAAAGGGATTTGGATCTCCCAGCCAGACCCCGTAAAGCCTGACTGTCCAGGGCTGCTCCAGTCATTTCAACAACCTTGCAACAACACTGCATTTTACATGATTAAAAATTTGGACCCAGCTGGGACTGGTGGTTCACACCTGTAATCCCAGCACTTTAGGAGGCTGAGGCAGGAGGATCGTTTGAGGCCAGGAATTCGAGACTAGCCTGGGCAACATAATGAGACTGTTGCTATATGAAATATTATTAAACAAAATGTGGAGCCTACTTATTGCATTATTGTGAGATTTAACTGTACATTATAGTTAAAAATGTACAGACCAAAGAGGCTTCTGTAGAAAAGAGTTTTCACTAAAATTTGAAAGAACCCTGAGGAGTGAAGATTGTTGAAAATAAGGGTTTTATTGTTTTTTGTTTTTTGGGGTTTTTTTTGCTTTATTGAGCGTTCATGACTATAGCAATGTAAACTCTGAACAGACAATTATGCAAAAATATGCCAGTGGTGGTGGATCACACCTGTAATCCCAGCACTTTGGGATTTTGAGGAGGGTGGATCATTTGAGGTCAGGAGTTGGAGACCAGCCTGGCCATCATGGCAAAACCCGGTCTCTAATAAAACTACAAAACTTATCTAGGCATGGTGGCACACCCCTGTAATCTCACTCAGGAGGCTGAGGCAGGAGAATTGCTTGAACCCAGGAGGCGGAGGCTGCAGGGAGCCGAGATTGCGCCACTGCATCCTGCCTGGGTGACAGAGTGAAATTCCATCTCAAAACAAAAACAAACAAACAAACAAACAATAGGAAGTAAACAGACCTGGACAAAACCATAGGCAATTTTCTTATAATCAATAGAGCTTATTCATATCAATAAGAGAACTCTAAGATGCCCAAAAGAAAGTTGGTACATAAAAATTGACCATTCAATGACATGAAAAATTGTACAGACTAGTAATAAAAATGCAAATTAAAATAAGCCTTTTTCACTATCAAACCAACAAAACTTAGAAATAAAAGGCAAATCTATCTAGAAAGATATGAATATTTGTGTAACAGAGGTTTTTCCTATGATGTTTGGCAACAAGTTTATTATTATTATACTTTTACATAATTTTCAAAATTTCCACAATAAGAAATGAACTTCTACATTCTAGAAAGGCATTAAGGATTTAAAAAATAACAGATTTACCTCAATTAGTTATTTTATACATCCACTGGGAAAACCAAATGAAAAAGACACTTTTATTTCAAATTATTCTCATTTAACAAGCCTTTCAATTTTTGAAAATACGTATTCTGAATTTACAATGCAGTGGAATTTGATTATGTTTAAATTTAAATTCTACCTAATTCATTTGATTTTCCTCATTTGTTGTCAGCGTTTTCCCAGAAACTTCATGAAAATTTTGTACCCTTAAAATCTTAGAGTGTTGCCTTCCAGCACTTTTGTTGGTTCAAAAATGTCAACCCCCAGATAAGTTAGGGAGAGTTGGTGGGACCAAGAGGACTGTGACCATTACTAAAAAATTACACAGGAGAGGTACTTGTGCCTCAGGGTTTTGCCCTTGCTATTCTTCCTGCCCGGGATGCTCGGCCCTCAGGTATTAGAATAATTCTCTGACTTGTATTTTTAATTTCCTTGTTGATTTTTCGTCTTCTCAGAGATGCCCTTCTTCATCATCCTATTTAAAATTAACCCATCTCCTCTGATATTTCCTCTTGGCCTTCTGTGTTTTCTTCTTCTCCATAGCATTTCTTTATCCATGTGTTATGTATTTTATATATTTGCTGTTTGCTTGCTTATCTTGTTTCTACCCACTAGAACGTAAGCTCTATGAGAGAAGGGATTTCTGCGTTTTGTTAAATATTATACAAATAATTAACTCAAAAAACTGACCTTCCTCAATGACATCTGGTGAATAAATGGATAGATGGAATGTGTGAAACAATGGATGGACGAATGGATGGATGGATGGAGGGAGGCATGGATGGATGGATGGAAAAAGGGAAGGAAGGATGGAAGGATGAATGGAATGAAGAATGGGTGGAAGGATACATGGATATGGGTTGGATGTATGATGGATGGATGGATGGATGGATGGATGTGTGGGATATGATGAGGTTTCTCTTCAAATAATGTGATCAATCTTTTATCTCTAATTCATAATAACACCTCCACCATTTTTCCTTTTTCCCTTTTTGCCTTTGTTAGATGCCCAGGCATGCCACAGTACCAGGCATTATCAGTAGTAGCTCACACTCCATTCCCTATTTGGAAGGAGGACTAACTTTTGAG